GGTTGAGAGAGAGAGGGAGACACGGAATCCGAACCAGGCTCCAGGCTCTGAGCTGTCAGCACGGAGCCTGACGGGGGGCTCGAACCCGCAAACTGTGAGATCATGACTTGAACTGAAGTTGGATGCTTAACTGAGCCACCCAGGTGCCCCCACACGCCTTCTGTTATTTCAAATAACAAAAATTAAAGCCCCATTGGCTCAATAAAATAATATTGATTGCCTCCAGGTGTACATCGTCTTCAGGGAAGGCTTCGTCAAGGATCACGTGATTTAGCCAGGCCCTCAATTCTACCGTTTCTCACAGCTCTGTGTTTCTTAAATTTCGGTTCCACCCACCCAGCATTCTCAGCAGTATGTCCTTGAGGCTTCATCCTGACCCAAGGGCCCCAGGCCCGTCTCCACCCCTGAACCAAGCATCTGGCTTAAAAAGTGCCCGTAATCAGAGCCCACCCCCGGAGCTGGGCCAGAGGTCATTCTGCGCAACCCTCAGGATACACTCCGTAAGTTTCATCCATTAAATTGTACTGCTTCACTGGTTTTTAATGTATTCACAGTGTTGCGTGATCATCACCATAATCTAATTTTATAACATTTTTAAGAAAGTTTGTAACTGTCAGCAGTCGCTTCTCATGCAACCCTACCCTCAGCCCCAGGTAATCATTAACCTTTCTGTCTCTCTATATTTACCTGCCCTAGATATTTCATATAAATGGAATCATATAGGGCACCTGGGTGGCTCAGTCGGCGAAGTGTCCGACTTCGGCTCTGGTCATGAGCTCATAGTTTGTGAGTTCGAGCTCTGCATGGGGCTCTGTGCTGACAGCTCAGAGCCTGAAGCCCGCTTTGGATTCTGTGTCTCCCTTTCTCTCTGCTCCTCCCCTGCTCACGCTGTCTCTCTCTCTCTCCTTCAAAAATGAATATTCAAAATAATTTAAAAAAAATAAATGGAATCATACAACATGTGGCCCTTTCTGTCTTGCTTCTTAGCCTCATGTTTTCAAGGTTCCCCCGTGTTGTAGCAGGGGGTCAGCGTTTCATCCCTTTTTACGACTGAGTAATGGTCCACTGTATGGCTAGCCCCGTCTTGTTATCCACTTGTCAATTGATGGGCAATCGGGTTGTTTCCACTTTTTAGCTATTATGGATAATGCTGCTACGAGCATTTGTTTGATATAGACTTTTGTGTGAATGTAGGTTTTTATTTCTCTTGCTTTAATACCGAATTGCTGGGTCATATGGTAACTTTATGCCTTATATTTTGAGGAACTAACAAAACCTGTTTTCTAAGGTGGCTGCATCATTGTGCATGGTCACCGGCAGCGTGCAAAGGTTCTAACTCCTCCGAATCTTCCACTATCCTTGTTGTCATCTTTTTCTTCTTTTTTTTATTAAGGAAGTTTTTTTAATGTTTATTTATCTTTGCGAGGAAGAGAGAGAGAGACAGAGTGAGGGCGGGGAAGGGCAGAGAGAGAGGGAGACACAGAATCCGAAGCAGGCTCCAGGCTCTTGAGTTGTCAGCACAGAGCCCGACACGGGGCTCAAACACACGCACCGGAAGGGTGGAGATATAATATTTTATGCAGAACAGGCAGCATACTCCACAATTTTGCTTTGACTAGTTGTGTGTGGACGGCTGGATTGGAACGATAGCTTATTTTAAAGATGTCTTAACCTGTGCGATTCTTCAGCCAGCATTTAGGATTCAGTTGGACAAAGCCTCTCCTTATCTTAGTTCAGAAATCTTTTGGGGGCCCCAAAAGGGAGTGGCCTATGAAAGCGACTTGGAAAAAGAAAATTACTATGTATCTTTCTCTTCTTTTCTTGGAAGACATTTCTCACCCCAAATCCACCGCATCTCTTTCACACAACTGTCACCTATACGGTGTTACTTAGTGAAATAACTTTTCTTTATTGGTGGCTCAGTCGGTTAAGCATCTGACCTCCACTCAGGTCATGATCTCACGGTTTGTGGGTTGGAGCCCAGAGTCGGGCTCTGTGCTGACAGCTCAGAGCCTGGAGCCTGCTTTGGATTTTGTGTCTCCCTCTCTCTCTGCCCCTCCCCACTCATGCTGTCTCTCTGTCTTTCAAAAATAAACATTAAAAAAAAATAACGTTTCTATCTCTTCTCTGCATCTGAGTGAATACTGCTCACAGCTCAGTATTATTAGAAGAAAAATCTTAAGAGAGCAATTGAAAAAATGCATTTGTTGGCAGCAATTTCTATCTTTGAATGCACAGTAAGTTCTGAGCTAATGAGCTATGGGAAGAAAAACCTTTGTGATAAATAATATATTTGATAATGAGCGGGAGAAAAAAAGGTTTTCAGTGGAGTTCAGTACGGGAAGGGCATCCTCGTATCATCGGTGGATACGGAGGCAAAAGATCCATAATTGGTTTTCTCATTCTCTCCATGTCAGTCTATGGCAGATCTTTCCAGACCTTTCTTGAATGCCAGCTTTCAAGAGGGCTTAGCTCTCAGGCTCCATGGCACCAGATGATCTACTTAATCTCATTTCATCTTTTTATTTAAAAACTTTTTAAAATGTTTATTGACTTAAAAATTTTTTTTTTCAACGTTTATTTATTTTTGGGACAGAGAGAGACAGTGCATGAACGGGGGAGGGGCAGAGAGAGAGGGAGACACAGAATTGGAA